AAGTTCTTGAGGAAAATAATTTTAATGACATAATAATTATTTTTTTGCTTAATATATACATTAGTATGTAATGTTTCAATATATGAAGTTAACATGATGTAGTCTAAATTCATTTTTTTTTGTTAACAATATCTCTTGTGATATAGATATATGCTTCTGAATATATTTTTTCATAATTTAGAGAGTTGTTAGGATTTTTTTTTTATGCTCAAGACAAAAAAATGATTTGCTTCAAAATAGTTATTACTATATAAACATTGCCCTTTTATTTTACTTATTTACTATTTCTTACTATCTTTGTATTTTAGACGAAGAAAAGACCATATGACTTATAATAACGGCAATTAAAGTTTGTATTAGTTTAATTTTTATTATTTATTTAATAGCTAATTTTTATGAGATAAATATTTTCATTAATGCAAATATATATTTATATTTGGGTAGGTATTTATATTTAAATTAAAGTATAATATATGCCACCAATGTATTATCAAGTTAAAAGATCTTCTAACTTCAAAATATATTATTTTAAAATGTTCCGAATTCTTTTTAAAAAAAACACACAACAAATGTGAAAATATGTGATTATATATGATTCATTTAAAATTTATCATTACACAAAATAAATTATATATTCAGTAATATGGAATAAACATTTACATTTTGTCCCTACACTAAATTAAAATCTAATATTTATAAAAAAAAATAGTAACATTAATTAAAAGTCTTATTTATTTATGTAAGTATAAAATTTATTAGAAATTCAGCAATTGCACATTAATTCTTTAGTTATAACATTATAAATACTCTTAGTTATTATTAATTATTGCAAATGTTATTCACATTCTCTTACATTCTAAGTTATAATATTATGAATTTCATAGTTATTGCATTAATTATTTCTATCTTTTATCTTTCCTTATATTAACTTGTTACCAATAATTTTTCACATTATTATACCACCCCTATATATGTGATAACACAATACTATTATTTTCCTTTGAGGAATCATGCTTGGTTGAATAAATTAAAAATCGTTTACAAGTATATGAACTATATCTTTGTTGGGTGTAAGATGAACATGTGATTATCTATATGATTTCACAGATAGAAATATTCTTTAATTTTACTTTTTAGTTTTTCCGATAAAAATAAAAGGAAACCTTTCTCAGTTAACTATGGACAATCAAATAACTATCTTTGATTTATGTACACAGTCAATCAAGAAGTCAAATATGAGAGCCAACAACAAGAACATTATCTATTTTGTTATAACTTATAAAATAAAAATTAATATACAACAAATAGTTATAAAAGATAAAATGTAGGTGTTCTCTTCACATGTTCATATGACATCTAAACAGTTTAACGTAGAACACACGTGCAAAGCACATCTGGTTAGATGACAAGAAAAATACTATAAGGTAATTGGAGATATACGAATAATTACATGATTGAACCTCATCAAATTGAAATAAATATATACATCATTACATTTAACTAATACAATTTTTCATTGATCATCTTCATAGGTTCGCGTGAATAAGATATATATATATATACGATCCACATTAAACATTCACAAAAAAATCTACAATATTATCTTGTGCTATGCTTATTATTCAAATTTTCGCTTAAATAAGCAATACTATTTACTATAACATATATTTTCTAAATTTGTAAATCACGTGCAAACGCACGTGTCAAAAAAACTAGTATACGCTAAAAGTGGGAAGAATGTTAGGCAAAAGTTAGATTACAATTCTATCCTACATTAAATTTAAATGTTATAAACTATTTAATAAATTATATTGAATAGTAAATCATCATATTAGTACATGAATCAACCAGTTTCTTGAATATGTATTCTTTTTATTAATTTCATGTTGGAGTTAAATTCATGAATTTTTTGTTTTGTTCATCTTCCAATTGGAAATATGAATGGTTATATTTGCCCTTAACAAAAACAAGAAAAATCATATAGAACTATATTATATTCTTTTTTGTATATAAATATTTGTATTAATGTGAAGTACATTACATAGATTTTATTACCTCTAACTCTTCATTATGTAAATATATGCAACTCCCACTAATTATATTCATTATGGTTTTTACTCACGCCTCTCATCCATAATCAAATGGGTTAATGTCATATTCATAACAACTTTAAGTGTTCTTCAATCATATCCTATAAATAGTGACATTTGACACAATATTGTATACACTTAAAACAATTAGAAAATAAAAAGAAGAGAAAATCTCTATGCTCTCTTCTCGTCTTTTTTTTTTTTTAATGTTTATGTTTCTTGTTTGTTGTTATTGTATAACTTTTTATTGTTTTATTATTAATAATATTGAGAATTTACAGTGATTTGTTGCTTTGTATACATTAACCTAGCATGTGGTATTTTAGTATACTTATTTGAATATTGTATTTGTACAATAATTAGTTATTTTTATTTTATGCACTTTTAGTCAATTTTATAATTAAGGATGTATTCTTTTTATTAGGAAGATATATGTAGTTTCTATTGTAAAAACGATGGATTTTTTTAGTAAATACCAATAAATTTAAAGCGGAGAAAATATGCATTTGCAGTACAAAAATTATATGAAATATTTTGAGATAAACGTGCAACGCACGTTTTCAGAACTAATATTTTATAAATACGATAAACCTTGTATTGATTAGTGTGTTCGTACATGGAGCTTACTTTTTACCTCCAAAAAGAAAAGAAGAGAATTTCAAATATAATCTTCTTAGACTAAAATATCTTATTTTAATAGATGTTTTCTACACAAATATAGATGTCAACTAATTCTTTTCACTTAACCTATTATTGTTAGTGTATATTCTTATTTGGGCTTTAATTAGCTATTGAAAAAATTGTATGAAATAGCAAACTTAATTCAAATTAAATGCTATAGCCATAGTTTATTTTAATTGTAATTCGCAGAAAATATCCCATTTTTTGCTATCTGATTCGGTATACAATTAGCCATTTTCGATATACAATGTCATTTTATACATTTCGATATACATGCGTTTGTGTTTGTATAAAGCGAGAGAAAAGTGTATATACAAATATAAATACATATATTTTCGTCCTATGCACTTATAATTATACAAATACAGATCTTATTATACAAATTACTATGTATAAATGAATTTATACAAAACTGAATAATTTGTATAAAATTGGATGTTTCTAGCGAATTATACAAATCAAAAGTTCCATAGCAAATGTTTGCTATGGAGCGCAATTATACAAACTATAATTATAACATACAAATATGATTTTTATGTTTGCTATATGTGAAAGTTGCTCTTAGTTATTTGTGATTTTATTGAAAATTTTCTAACAACATGACAACTTATAGATTTAAGGAAAACTTACTTGGATGGGTACCTTTTGATAAATAATTATTGATTTTAGCGATATTTTTTATTTATTAACATTTTTAGCAATACTATGTTAAATCTGTAATATGTATTAAAAGTGAATTATGTATACAATATATATGTATTATAATTGTTTTTTTTAATATATTATGCTTGTTTGGTAAGAAATTGACACATTGTATTATAAGTGTATTAAAATATGTGATAAATGTATTATCTATCAATAAAACTTGTATTATATGTGAATAATAAATTATTCTTTGTAATATGTATTAAAATTGTATTATAAATGTATTAAAAAGTGATCAAATGGGAAAAAAATGTTATTGCTATAAATGATAAATATTTTTTTAATGTTGTATATTTATGTAAGTTTCCCTAGATTTAATCGGCAATAAATAGCCCAGTTTTATTTATCTGGCAAAAAAAGATTTTTAATATTTACTTGACATTAAATAGTCATAATTATTTTTCTTGAAAACTGTTCTTTTTCTTATTTTCTCTCTCTAATTCTAGACACGTTATTTTTTCTCTCTCCTTGTTATTTGTCATTATCAAATTCAAAATACTTAAATAAAAGGAAAAATTACTTGGATGAGTATCTTTTAATAAATAATTACTGATTTTAGTGATATTTTTTTTATTTAATACCATTTATAGAAATATGTCATAATACTATGATAAATCTGCAATATGTATTAAAAGTGAATTATGTATGCAATATATATGTATTATAATTATTTCAAAATATATTATGCTTGTTTGGTAAGAAATTGACATACTGTATTAAAATGTGTGATAAATATATTACCCATCAATAAAACTTGTATTATATGTGTTTTATAAATTGCTATTTGTAATATGTATTAAAACGGTATTATAAATGTATTAAAAGTGATCAAGTGAAGAAACATGTTATTGCTATAAATGGTAAATATTTTCTTAATATAGAATATTTATGTAAGTTTCATAATGTGAATGTGTACACTTTAATTTAATAATAGATATTTTAAATAATTTCCCTCCGTAAGGAATCTTAATATTAAAAATATATTGATACTTATTTTTTTCACAATTTGATTCTCAAAAGTACTTTTTCAAAAAGAGATTGTCCAAACACAATTTGCTTATCAAGAACACTTTTCAAATGAATTAACCAAACAAAAAATATTATTTATTTCAAAACTTTTTTCTAAAAAACTATTTTTAAAAGTAAACAAGTTATTGCAATAGTAAACTAATTATAGCAATAATGTCAAACAGACTCTAAAACATGATCTACCGAGGATTTGAGTTTGAGAATCATATAGGTCACATATATAGAAATTATAATGGGTCAACATAATGTGTACCACCAAAAATAAATAATATGCTTTTTAAATTCATCTGAAAACAATTTCTTGTACATTTATGTTCAGCAATAACGATAAATAATCTTTAGCATAGACTCAAATAATCTCCAATATTGGATTAAATCTACCTTGACATGAAATCTTGTTACATAGCTCCAATTTTATTATGCACTTTCAAGAGAAATATCAATACTGATAATAACTCAACAAGAATCGTTCAAGTCTTGACAGATCAATAGAAATAAATGAAAATGATATGCACCACGAATATGATATAAGGAATTAACTATATTTGTACCTTCATGTATAATTAAAAATTTACTTCAATAATTACTAACATTATTTTTCAGAATCTACATTGTGCATGACTTGAACAAACTAGTATATATAAATTTAATCAACTTGTTAAATGTTCTTGTGAAGTCTGCATGCGAATTCTTTCATTCCTAGCACATTCCACCTGGAAATAATAGAAGCATAACATTAGGAACTACTCATTTGCTGCTGACAAAACGATGTGGTAGTAATTCTGAACTAAAAATTCACATTCATATAACTGTTGAACAAGAAAAGGCTCTTTAACTGCGTAACTGTGATAAAAAGAACATAAAAACTTAATGTGAGATGTTCTTTTTTAGATAAATTTCTTGTCTCACAGCATCATGATTCCTACAATTCGAACAAAATTAGATGTCCTTCCCTAAAAATCTGAAAGAATACCCCCACCAACACCAACACCCCCTCCCACAAACCCCACCCCTAAAGAAACCCAAGGTTCTTGATGGGTTAAGTTCTTCTAAAGTACCTGCGCCACAAGTTTCCTTGAGTAATTATGATAAGAGGAGTCATAGTGATTACAACACATACTTAGCTTGCACAAATGTGAATTTGAAGGTTAGACTAGTTTTCTTTAAAAGCCACACTAAACCTGTCCATATCCAACAAAGCCTGCTTCTATAGAGATGCAAAGCTGCAGAGTCCACATGCTACTCTTTTTATACGTTGTGTCCCTCAATGAGTCAAACTTTAGCAGGATGTATTCAAAAGGTGCAAAATAAATGCTCCCCTCAATGAGTCAAAGTTTAGATGGATGCATTATCAAAGTGCAACATCTTCACTAAAAATTAAAGTGAAATAAAAAGATTTTACGATTCATTTTCAAATATAGCTTCTAAATGTATTATGCTTTCTTCAGATCATATTAATAGGGACCATACCTGGAAAGCCTCTAAGATAGAATTGTAATGCCTTTGCTCTGAAACTGCAGCTGCATATTGCCCCTTGAGAGCTTCATGAGCTTTCTGCTCCGACTGTAGAGCAATTTGCACCTTTTCCAGCTTCTGGGATATGCAGCTCACTAGTAAGTGTTCATATTACAGACCATACAAGCGCCACTAAGAAATATTTTGATCTTTTAATGCTTATACTGAAATTTGTTTCGGATGAGAGAAAAGCGTAGGCAATAGGCAAGAGCAAATATAAATGGCAGAAATATAACTGTCAGTGAAAAAATGGAATATGACACAGAGAAGATCCAGCACTCCTCTACACAACTTGCCAAAAGGAAAATAGGCAATGCAAGAGCCATCAAGGAGATCTTCAATCTTTCCTTTTAAAGGCATTATTGGTTTCATGAAAGGTACCCCCAATGTCACTTACACTCCCACTGAATTAACTACTATCATGCAGGGATTAAAGATTGCTTTACAACATAATCCTACTCCCATTGAAATAGCCTCAGATTCATCAGAGGTAATCAACATGCTACAAAATGGACATCTGACTTACTGTCCGTCAATCTCCGAATGCAGGTCATAGATGCAGTCACAGGATAATCCAACAGTCAGTCACATACAGGGAGAAAAATCAAGTAGGCATCTACTGGCAAAAGAGGGTGCAAAGAGGTAATGTTTAGATAGACTTAGAATTTTGATAGTTCCTCCGATGTTTGCCAACAATGTGTTTGGACAGACATTCTAGAACTACTTTTGCTAGATATATCTCGGGCTATAACATTTCATGTGTTGGACACATCTGGCGAACAAATTAGGAGCAATACTCCCACTACTCTAGAATTTTTCCATATTGGTATGATAATCCTATCCAGTTAACAACCCCTCCCCCTCCCCCCAAAAAAAAAAGAAAAAACCGTGCCTATTAATAATCACCATCACCAATTCACATGACACCGCCCCCTCCTCCAAGTCAATTTTTTGATGAGTTATAACGAAAGCATATTCCTAAACTTCTTGTATCTATCTAAAGGATCAGAGTCTGTGTATTGATTTTAGTCCCTCTATACACTAAATTTCTGGTTATTATGAACTTCTCATTGTTCTGAAAAAGCTTTTTTCTCACATACAGGAATTGATTAAATGCTCTGAAAAAATGAATTTTCAACTGTTCAAGAAAAGTCATACACGCTGCTCTTTCTTTGAGGTATTGGTATAGAGTTCTAAGTATTAAACTCTCCTCTAAACATTGAATATACAGCCATTATTCCAAAAAAAAAAGGGTATCATTCAATTCTACTAATGGATTTACAATAGCACTATCATCTAAAGCTAGTTCTGTCTCATGGTGACAAAAGGGAAATAAAAAGTCAATCCAGCATACTCAACTTGACTTTACAGTCTAGAGTTGCAAATTCAAGTTTCTTTGCCTTAAGTGATGGGGTAAGTAGGAAGTAAAAAAGAAGAAATCACATCATATATGTCTAAGGTTCTCAATATGTCAAGATTTATTGAATTTGAGTAGGAAAGATACTGTAGAATACTCCTTTTCTTTAAATTTGCTTGTCTTACTTTCCTTTTTCCTTCATTTAAAAAAGAATGTCTCTTTCCTAATTTGGCAACTCCTTAATTTCAACATTCCACATTGCATGTTGAAGACCACAAATTTAAAGTGCATTTTGGTACATTGTATATCTTTAGTCAACAACCACAAGATTCAAGTCTTTTTTAATTTCTTAAACTCTATGTCTGGTTAAACTAAGACAACCAAATGGGAACGGAAGGAGTATTATATTAACACTAGTAAACGCGGGAATTTAATATCACGAAATTTATAAAATAATACTTAAAACCTATCCGTCATTAAAACTAAACACTATATTATTTTACATACAAGATTACGTAGTAACGAACATTAATAATGTAAAGGAAAATGAAAATTATAACATCTTATCATTTATCCTTAATAACATAAGCATAAATTTATGATTGTAAAAAAATACCAGGATATGTAACATAAGCAATGGTGTTAGTGAGCAACTCAACAGGAGCAAAGTACACGAATATTTAAAGAAGAAAAAGCAGAAAAATAAGCTCAGAATTTTCGTTGTTTTAAAATGAAAAGGAAATCCCTCTATTTACAAACAACAAAGGGTAGTGTGAACCAAATCGTTTATTGTGCCTTATCGGAAAGGTAACAACTATTTGGAAAAGTTGCAATCCTTCGGAAAGGTCACAACCTTTCATAAAAGTCACAACTTTTCATAAAAGTCGCAACTCTTCTTTGAAGTCGCAACTTTTCATAAAAAGTCACAACTTTTCATGAAAGGGAAGACTAGTTTTGGAAATAAATAAATTAAAGGGAATCCTAGTTTGTGGGAAGTAGAATAAGAAGTTCAAAATTTTCGTTATTTTAAAATGAAAGGAAATCCCTCTATTTATAGACAACAAAGAGTAGTGTGAACAAATGTTTGTTGTGCCTTATCTGAAAGGTAACAACTATTTGGAAAAGTTGCAATCCTTCGGAAAGGTCACAACCTTTCATAAAAGTCACAACTTTTCATAAAAGTCGCAACTCTTCTTTGAAGTCGCAACTTTTCATAAAAGTCACAACTTTTCATGAAAGGGAAGACTAGTTTTGGAAATAAATAAATTAAAAGGAAATCCTAGTTTGTGGTGGCGCCACGTAGGCGGGCCTAGGGTTCTCTTTTATATATATGATATGATATAAGATAACACAAGAAATTGTGTGTTTTCTTATAAAATAGTCACTAAATAGGCATAAAGAATAATAACCTAGCATATTACATAATTAAAATGACAGTATAAGGAGCCTCTCTTCTACATTGATAATAATCAATCCATTACGAAGTAATCTCGCTTGTTTTTTCTTTTTTTTTTTCCGCATCAGATTTAGTAATCAATATCAATTTCAACTAATATATGAATTCTCTGTATCTAAGTGTTCAGCCAATTCACAATGATTATGTTATTTTTCCGTCAGTTGTTAATCTACAGCACCTCTTCTACTTTTTCCAAGTTAGGAACTGGCTATACTTTGTGAAAGCGTAAGCAGAGCTTATTCTAGATCTTGCAAACAAATTTTTATTTGCGATCTACCATCACTTCGTATAATACAAAAGAGCATCTCCTCTACCATTTGTCAGAATAGAGATAAATGATGTTTCACAATACTATGTGATGTACAACAGTACTGAAATTTGGTGTAATATGATATATCATTTTTTGATCAATTCAGATTTTAGAACTTGAAATTGAGGGTGTCACGATAAGAGAAATTTTATGAAACTATTACACATACTATTTCCTCCAGATATAATAGCACTACAAAGTGTCAAAGCCATTTGTTTCAAACTAAAGAAAAACAAATAAAAATAAGATCTAACTCTTTTTTCAGTGCTACCCGAATAGACTGGTGAGAAAAGGAAAAGGAAGAGGAAATTATTTATCTTAACAAACACAAATAGAAAAGAGGCGGACATAAATATATTTAGAGTTCAACTTGTAACAGAAGAAGTAAAATTTATTTAACACCAGTAGTTCATAATCTTGAAATAAAGTAGCTTCTGACAATAGATAAAAGTAACCTGACTGTAAAAAATCATTACACCGCAGATGTACATAAGTGTTTTAAAAGGAGTTTTTGGGGAGAATCAGGAATGCACTGGGGAGACCCGGGGGTAAAAAAATATTGGGAGGTGTAAGCCCAATTGTTTTGGGCGGACGCCTAGTCACTGGGCGAGTTTTTGTTTTGGGGAGCAAGTCTAGAAAGCCTCTCCAGATTACTAGAATTGCTAAACAAGTCTTTAATTTAATACCAAAACCACAAAAGTCGGCTTGTTATAAAATTCTAAAAAATTAAAAAACTTGAAAGTCAATTTTTTATTTTTTATTTTTAGTCCTAATTTTTATTCTCTCTCTTCATCTTTTGTCAGGTAAAGGGGAAAATGACTATTTTTGCAATTTAAAAGCAAAAAACTTCATCTTTCATCACTTGCTCTGGTTCAACGCTTTTGATTAGGTTTCTTTCTCACTTTTTCTTTCTTTTCAAGTTCTTTTGCTCTTTCAAGTTAGTTTATGAATTTCTACTTTAACTTTCTTTCCAAGTCTGGTTAGACTTTTTTGATGGATCATGTTCTAATTAGTTTTTTCATAAATTGATTATTCTCATTAGCATCTTTAGATGAAGAGTTCTATATACATTTTCCATCTTTTTTATATTTATTTCTATGACATTAATTTATAAACTATTAAAAATTAAGTCTCCTGGGGCTTACGCCCAGTGCCTTGAGGCTTATGTCCAGCGCCTCGAGGCTTACACCTTACCCCTTATTAGAAAAAAATATCCCCCCTTGCACTCAATCCTTTTAAGACACTGACGGATATCAGTTAAACTGATCTCTTTATCCTTTTTATTTAAAAAAAAATTCTCACTCAATCAAATAAATTGGAGAAAAAGCTTATAAGAGTAACCATGACAAACTGACATTTGCTAAAAGGTAGTAATATAAAAACCTTGGCAAAGACTAAGCGCCTAGGACTGGATTAGAACTATTATAAGATTTATTTTCCTGTTTTTAAGAGTTCCTCACTCATTCAAAAGAATTGGAGAAAAAGCTTATTAGAGTAACCATGACAAACTGACATTTGAAAAAAGTAGCAAACTAATAATATTGGCAAAGACTGAGTGAATCCTAGGACTGAATTAAAACTACTATAAGATAATTATTTTCTGGTACTAAAATAAGAAAAGTTGTTTTCTTTTGGGAGTTTCTATTGAATGTATCTTCACTTTAAATCATTTTTGTTCTTACTCTTAGTTACATTGTGGCCCAATTTCCCAAAAGTAGCTCAGGTTAAAAGATGTTAGATTAATTTGTCTTAAATAATGAATCAATGGGTTATTTCAGATGTTAATAAATATCTGAAATATAAGATATAAAACTAAAAGACATGACATGGTTTTGTTAAATCATCAGAACATCCAGCTTTTCAACCACAGTGTGCATCTTTCCATGCACCAATTTTCTGTTCCATTTAATAATACATATTAAAATTTCAAATTTATCCCAAGCAGGACGACCAAGAAACTGCTTCACTCTCCCTTGTATATTAGTAGAGATGCATTTCAAGAATGAGGAGCATGGATACCTGTTGAGTCCCGTGCAGAATTCCTTCCATGGAATCAATTAGTTTCTTTCGACCAGCAGGGCTAGTAAGAGCATCTTTGAACTATACAAAGAGAGACAAAAAATGACAAGATAGAAGAAATCAACACTGTCTACAGAAAAAATAGGATGGATCAGAACACAAAGGGAGGAAGATTCAAACAAAGTTTGGATATCAACAAGAAATCAATGTACATTTACATGGTAGAAACCCAAGAAAACTATCAGAGAACTACAAAGTGTATGAGATAGATTACAAAGTATTCTTTTAAATTTAATCTGTGTTAAATCAGTACAGTTACACAAAAGAAGAGGAACTCAGAAAAGCAGCAAAAGTCTTTCCACTCTTCAAGAGAACAAACAACCAAATACACCTCGCTCACTGATCGATAATAAGATCAATAGGTCATTTGACATATAATTTGATGCATTTCACCTCATACTTTGGTGTGTTTTAAGTGCTTTCATTAGTGAAAAATGACCTATTGATGTTAAATTTGAGGATTTTAATGTGTAGGAAGTCATGAGCGAAAAGGAAAAAAATTTGAACTGAAATGAAGAAAAAAAGCAAAATCCAGAGTAATTGCATGCGGGTTGGTGCGTTGCATGGTCATACTCATAGCATCGGCGACTGGCAGATTCTGATGAAGTAATTGCATGCTAAACAGTGAAGTAATTCCTCACTGAATGGTCATCATGTTGGGAGATTTAGTATCCCAACCTTTAGTTTTGAGTTTTGCGCTTTGGTTAATGGTTCGATACTTCCCTTAGGTGCATATGATGTTTTAGCGCTTTGGTTAATGGTTTGATACTTCCCTTAGGTGCATATGATGTTTTAGGACATGTTGGGATGCTTGTTTTGGGACTCAAAAGACTGGGGCGAGTTTCTGCATCATCGGACAAGATGCTAAAATTTTAACAACTGAAACAGAGCCAAGTGCAGCCAGCACTTAGGAAGTACGGCCAACACTTGGCCAATTTAATAGCTGAAAATTGGTAGATTGCTTACCCAAGTGCATCCAGCATTGCCCAAGTGAGGTACTGCAGATATAGCCCGGGTTTGATATTTTATTTCATTCTTTACCATTTGATACCTGAAGGGTTTTGACCTAGATCTTCATCTACAAGCTTGGTGTAAGTGACTCCAACTTGGAATTAAGTCTATTTCATGAAACTAACCAAAGATCTATCATCTAAACATGGAATTAGTTGGGTAAAATTAAGGATTTGAGACATAAACCAGAGAATCACTAAAGTGAGGTTTTGAGCAAGCAAATGGACTTGAAATAAGAATCTAACCATAGATTAGAAATCCTTAGAATATGGATAACCCGATTGTGAATCTTGTTTCGAGGTTTGTCCATGCTGGTTGGAGTTGACTTACACCTAGTCTAGAATTATGGAACGATTCTAGTGACATTGTTTGACCTCATTGAGTATTATTTTGGATAGGCAGAATTGGTGGGATTTAGGACGGAATCGAATAGCAAATACACTTGCGGTCAAGACAGGTCTTGCATCTCCTACCTTATGCAATTGACTGACCTGCCACTTCTTTCCTTCAATAATGCCTCGGCTTCACTTCAAGACACTATTTACCAAGGAAAGACTACTTTGTTTTGAATGGAAGTGGCAGGCTTGGTACGGTTCGCTTATCCATCGGCAAACAGGTGGCACACACTATACTCAATTGGACTATCGCCCGGTGAATCTTTCATAGAGAAGCACACCAGGTGCTCCCTTAATCTGCACTCCAGGCTACTCAAGTTCGTTTGGTAGATTGAGAGCGACAAAGGTGGTTCACAAAGGTTAAGGCTAGCTCGGACCGGGAAAAGTTAAGGATTTGACCTCAATGAGGGAACTCTTTCCAAATTGACTTGTTTTACACTAACGAGCGTACATGCGGATACTAGGGCTTATATGCTTTCCGGGGTATAGGATTACATTGCTAGCTATGCTTAGCATGTGACTCCCTTTGTCCCAATTAATGTGGTACCCTTTCCTTTTTGTTCTGTCCCAAAACCTTTCTATAATTTATTGAACCTAGTAACTGTGTATGTATCTCATTCTTAGAAAAACAGTACATAGGTTGTACTGAAACCATATTTACAAGATTTACTTTAAAATCCTACTATCTTTTTCCTAAAATGAGTCTAAAACATCAATTAGAGATCGTATCATTTGAGTATAACTGATTACACCAAAAACATAGTATCGAAAGATTATTTAGCTCGACCTTCCACATACTATTCTCTATGCCATCAAACATCTAGATTCTAGAGTTCCTATCCTTCTAAATTGTCCACCAAATGTTAGCAGGACTATCCTCCATCTATCACGGTTTTTTGCATGCATACCTTCTTCGTCCCAGCTCTGGTTTGCTTCAGTAATCGTGCCTGGCTAAGTGCAAGATATGCATATTCCCTTGAGATTTAAGAATATCCTCCTCAGCTGTCCCGTGATTTTACAGTGAAGAAATAAATAGTTAACTGTCTCAGCAGTCTCACCATAAAAGAAACATCTAGGACATAATGGTATCCCTCTCGTCATCAAATTATCTTGAGTCAGTACTGCTTCATTAGCTAACAACCAGACAAAACAGCCCACTTTGTGTGGTATTTTGGTTTGCCAGATACCTTTCCATGGCCAATTGTTTGAACTCTGAGTGGAGGGATTCATCCAGTTGTAAGCATTACTCACCTTGAAAAGGTTCTTTCTCCATTTCCACCATAAAGTATCTTTTCCAGCCTCCAAGTCATTGAAGTGATCTATGATTGCTGAAAAAGTCTGTCACTCTTTGAATCTCCCAATCATTAAACTACCTTCTTAGGGATTCCAATGAGACGGTGCGGGGCGGAGGCGGGGCGGGGCGGGTTGAGCTTAACCCGCAAAAAATTTAAGCCGCCCCGCATAACAATTCTTTTCATTTTCAACCCGCCCTGCATAAACCCGCCCCGCATAAATTGTTTAATAGTTTCCTTTTCTAGGTAAGTTTGATACTAAAAAAAAATTCATAAAAACAAATTTATTCTTTTATTAAGTTATATTAATTTAATAGATAATGACTTAAAATTTTATGTTTTATAGGTCAATTGGAAGCATGTAAGAAATTGTATTAGTTTTGATTGAACCATTTTCATTTACTATCTTGAACAATTTAGTAACTTTAAAGAAATATCTTAATAGATAATGCTCTACAACTGTTATAACATGTAAAAAGGTAAAATTAAGATTGAACCCGCATAAAATCGCATAGACCCGCAAACCGCCCCGCATTAGTTTCTAAAAACCCACTTCAACCCGCCCCACATAACCTTAAACCCCAACCACCCCACATAGCCTTAAACCCACCTCGCCCCGCCCCATTGCCATTCCTACACCTACTGAAGATAAGACCCCATCCTTGAGGAGTCCGAGCTCTGCAATAGTCTTCTGCTGATGAAAAGTTAAGGAGTGTATGTCTGGGAAAAGAGCTCCCAGTTTGCCTGACTCGTGGCAGTCATCCTTCCAAAATCAGTTTTGTTCCCAATAATCCCTTTGATCTTACTGTTGGCCTTGAATTCATTCCACAGTTCTGATAGACCTCAATAAGGTGTGCTTATCTCCTTGGTCATCCAATTACCTTTCTCTTCATACTTTGCACAGATGACATCCTTGCATAGAGACTAATTTTCATGGCTATATTTCCAAAACCATTCATTTTGAGAGCCTTACTCCGTATTTTCAGATTCTTGAATCCTAATACCCCTCTCTCTTCCCAACTGTCACTCTTTCCCACTTAACCAAATTATATCCCTTCCTTTTTTTATTTTCTTGCCATAGAAATTTCCTTCTAATTTAATCCAACCTGTTGATAATTGATGTGCTGGGAAATTACGGCACATTTAATACTTTTTGATAAGGAATTTATGCAAGCCTTAAGCACATTTTGTATGAAATGATGGATTTTTGTCAGTGTTTCAGGTAAACAACTAAAATGGCAAGAAATGTGAAGTTACAGACGGATTAGTCCACGGTCCATCAATGGCATTGACGGACCTTCATTGGTGCCGTGATAAGGCCAAAATCCTGCAGACAAGGACGAATTCAACCACGGTCCATAGAAGGAAATGACGGACCATCAAAGTCATCATAAATATCCAAAAAAAAAACCTGCAGACTAAAACTTTAAGGAAAGTGTAAAATTCAGACCATAAAATAGATCGACAATCCATAGGAGATCCTATAAGTAGAAGAATCGGAGACTTGAATATGCAGAGGATCCTGTTGATGATGAACAGGATGGCCTGTGGAAACAAATGAGGGGCCGTGATTTCTCCCGTGGAGCAGACAGCTGAAGTTGACTTTTCACTAACGGTTGACTACGAACAATTGACAAACTGTCATTGAGGGTTGCGGTCTGTTTGAAGCAGCGTCAAAAGCCTTTCCCAGTTCTGATAGGACTCATTATTTATTGTCTATTAATATTTTCCTTAGGTTTTTAGAACAGAATGTTGTATGTCATAGGAGTTTTTGCGATTTTTGAGTTTGTGGATACTTTGCTACGCTTTTCTAATTCAATCTTTCAGTTTACTTCAATCTAATTCTTCATATGTACTATGCTTTCAGTTATTAAGTTTGTTTGTACTCCAATTATGAGCAGCTAAACCTCTTGCTAGGGTTGTTAACCTGTATGATGGGAAGTTCTTAAGATACATAAATCGGTATACACGGTTAGAAGGTTTTTGATGAATAATTAATTTGTAATTCTCTCATAGAGATTAATGGTTGCAGAGGTTGATCACACCATTGCTCAAATTCAATTCGGAAGAGTGAGTTAGGTTTTGGTCGATTAATTATCAAGAACTCAAGGCAGTAACCCTGGTTTAATAAATCTGCATAGGAATATGTTGGCTTTACTTGGCTTAGTATGATCAATAATTGATATCACTTCAGTTGTTTGCAAATTTAGTAAACGGAAAGTATGCTTAACTGTTGGAAACCACTAGATGTTAGAATATAAGATCATTGCTCATCAAAAACAACCTGACAAACTGCCCGTATCATGGGGTTGGAAATTAGGGCAATGAGAGGGCCAAGGAAGACGCATTTGCAGACTTGACAGTACTATGTGAGGAGGTCTCACAAGCCAGAGCAGATATTGCTGAGTTGCTGTCCAGATCAGCCCCCTTATTCGATGATCCCGCCTCTCATAAGCATCCTTAACAGAGAGGGGTGTGGTCCTATGAAGATAAAATAGAAAAAAAACATGTTCCATATTTTCTGAGGCGACTTCACAGTGAAGAAGGACATGTCCAGTAGTTTCAGCCTCCTTTTTGCACATATAGCATCTGTTTGGGAGTTGGATTTTCCTTTTCTTCATATTATCTTGAGTAATACATGCCTCATATAGAGTTGTCCAAGTAACACATACAACCTTAGTGGGAGATATAGAATAAAATGTATGGGAAAAGACATCAATTGGTACCTACTCATTTGCCTCCTCTTCCTGGTTTTGTTGGGAGTTCAATTTCCGCTATTAGGTACAATGAGTAGCCATGTGCAGACCACAGCATGTAAAACACCCACTTCTCTGCATGAAGGGCCCTTTGTGGATGCAACACTATTGCTGCCTGAGGAGAGTCTTAAGAGTTATTTGCACCTGATCTCCCCCACCTCTATTAAGACCACCCCGGCTAGGTTGGTCCCCAGTGTAGTTTTGAAGGTTGTAACTGATTGTCCCTCCAGGATTCCACCTAATAATCCGCAAGGCACTCAACAGTTTGCATTGCCTTGACAAAATTATCCACCCTTCACTGCTGCAGCTCCAAGTGAGCAAAAGGCTTCGTCCCTTCCATGAGAGCAGAAAACTCATGCACATAATCCCTTATTGACTTCATTTGGTGTAGCTCCCAGAGTCATCTTCATGCATTGTACTACATAAGTCCTCTCATGTCTCCAGAGTGTCTTCACCAGCCCTAATGGCTTCATACTTCACTCACCACCAAAGCTTGGTATCCCCTCGCAAATACATGGCAGCAGTTGCTACCTTCTTTGCTTCTTCTAGCTCCCCACGGCCTTAACGTACTGATCGATGTCGAAGATGAAGTTCTCAACTTCATTGGCATTCCGAGCACCGTGCTAGGACTTTCAGGAAGATGCTTATCGTGGAAGAAGAGCCCAAGCATGAGTCCAAAAATTGTGGAGAAGAGTGGACTAAGTGTAACACATTTCATGGTCCATGTCAAAATCCCAGAGGAAAATTGGTGTCACATGGAGCTCAAAGGGAGATGAAAATCAAGCCCACATGGAGTCAAAGGGTGCTGCAAATCAAGCCTAAAATAGGCTGAAATTCACGCCCAAAACATCCTAAATTGGGCTTGTGTTTTTGGAGCAAAACAAAGGCATTCTTTCCTTTATTTTTTTTGTTTGATTGTTTGGCAGAAAGTGTGACATTAATTTTTACTTGTTTTCCTAGTTTAAAGTTTTCTAGTTAGGATTTACTATTAGTTATTTTCATAAAAAAAGGATTAGAATCCCATGCTATTTGCGATGAAGTGTTCGACATCTCCCTATATATAGCTGTGGATTTTGTTCTTTGAGTAAACAACATTATTATCAATATTATTGAGAGTTCTTTTCTTTAAACCTTCGTGCATTGGCTACTTGGGATTTATCTTATAACCTTACAAGAAAGATTTCTTTAAGAGATAAGACAAATCATGTGGTTGATATCTATGGTTCTTATTTGAGCTAATAATTAGATAAGGTTATTAGTCTTATACTAATCATTGTCTTTAATTATTCAATTAGGAGTCTAAATCACTTGCATCTAAGTTGTTGAATTGAATTTACTAGTAAAAAGGATTAGTCTTATTTCGCAAATTAGGTCTACTACAATTAATTAGGGTTCTTAGCACTTCATTTCGAAGTTTGGAGATTCTATTCTCTAATTGCGGTTATCTTAATTCCATGTCTGTAATCTTTGTATTTAACTTCTGCATAATTTTCTTGTTTTTCTTCAAGTAACTCGATTTTTATCAAATGGTATTAGAGTGGTTCTATCAAGATTCCGTTCTTGATAATACTGGGAGTTTCTTCACCAAAAAAAAAAAAAAAATTAGAACTCTTGCTCATCGCGGCCCTCTATGGAGTGAATCAGGACTCTTGTTTTTTCCTGTTTGTTAGAACTCTTGCTTATCGCAACCCTTTAAGAAAGTTGACATTTATCAATAAAACAGGTTGGACCTCCATCAAATTACAGATATTAGGAACTTTCTCAAAAAAGTTCCAAGGTCTGTAATTCCCCTTAATGAATTGCAAAATCAGCAATCATAGGCAAGTCAAGGAACAAAATAACAAGGTATTAGACCTGTGTGTTGGGCCTGATTTTCCTGTTAATCATCCAGTGGCTCAATAAAAAATTAGGGACCTTAACACAGAGACACAGGATGAAAGAGCAAGCATTGTGGAGAAAGATCCTTGCAGACAAGTATGGGAAGAAATGGAAAGATGGAGAACCTACCACAATATGAAGCCACATGGGATATCTTTATGGAGAGACATTATGAAATAGCATATAAGGGGCCCTACAAAAAGATTTTGGCAAGAAAGGTGATGGGAAATGCTCTACAATGATGCCTCCCTGACAACATACACTATATTGAGCAAGAAGAAAGCAGAAGTGGCCGAGATTGCAAGGAATAAAGAAGAAAGAATACTAAAGGATTTGACTTCTGAAGAAACAAACATGCCATACTGAGATATGAAAGAGCTGAATAGTTTGTTGGGAAATATCATATAAAATGAATGTCAGTCATGGAAAGAGAAGAACGATCATGTATTCAGTGTTTAAGTCTTTCTATAGTGACTGTTGAAAAGGGAGAAGACTCAGAAGAGAGTTTCTGCATACCCAACACGGATCCAGAGGGCATCAAGGAAAATTTCAATCTTTACTTGGACAGCAGAATGGGGAACCATTTAACAGGAGATCTTGAGGAGAAGAAAGATATCCACCTCAATTGGTGTTTCATGCGCAAGCACGCAGAGTGGATGCCAACCATTTACAACTTTGTTTCTTGGTCGCATACAGTTTATGATGTAAGATGTTAAGAATATCTACGGTTGGAATGGGTGACACCATTGACAATAAGAGAATTATTCCTGCATGGAAATTCAGAAGAAAGACGATAGAAGGGGGAATAGCGCCCTTAACATGGACAATTCGGAAAGAGAAAAGGAAGAGATTTTGAAAGCGGTGGAAAGTGCTTTCAAACAGATCAGCTATTTTTTTTTGGTATACTCTTGAAGAACTTTTTGATATCCCTACAAGTGTTGATAATTGATATCTCTACACTCTCTGAAGAATCATGACCTTTTAGTAAGATTCTCTACATTTTTTATGCGGGGTTCCCACCATATCAGTAGCATTAGCTTAAACAGAAAAAACATAATAGTATTATATACACCAAAAGGATATAGGTTTTGTTGGTGTTTTTTAAAAAATGGGGCCGCAAAAAGAATGATTGACATATCTCGCAATGGATTGAAATGACTTTCAATAGCTTTCAATAGTTTAATTAAGCATTGAGGGGCTTTAAATAGCCAACATAAAAAACATAATCTGCATAATTTGAAATTTAAAAAAACCTAAAATATCTGAATAGTTCAAACAACCTAACTAAAATTCAAAATTCATATACATCTTAAACTAAACAACTTATTTTACTAAAAGTTACGACAGTAACTAAAAGCAAACTTCAACACTCCTCCTTTGCTTTAGTTATTGCAATTGAAAAAATGCTCCTCCTCAATTTCTGCTTTGGTAGTTGATGTTGGATTTTTCAGTATTTATGAACTTGCAAAATTTCTTCTTTTTTTCTTTTTCTTATTTTCGATTTTGTGCTTCAAAAACACCTTCCATGACATTGTCTTGTGTAGAAGTTTTTTTGAAAGTGCTTTTATTTGGATATTTGTAGGATTTGCAAAATATTGTTGTAAATTTTCTTCCTTCACAACATCACATATCACATAGGTTTCAAAATATGATTTTATTCTCACACACCAAATTTGATAGTTTTCGTCTGTGAAAACTTTTGGGGCATTCAAAGAGAGACTACTGCTTGCCATTATTTTTGGTTAAAAATTGGTTTTAAAAAGCCTGTGCATTGAAAAAAGCACGAGTTGAAAATAGTAGCCCTGACGGGTTAAATGGATAGCCCTGATGGGTTAAAAGAGTAGCCCTTACGGGTTAAAAATGGTATGGTAGTTCTTTGAAAGATTTCACAGATCCCGTGGGATCAATGAAGCTTTGATATCACTGTTGGTGTTTTTTTAAAAATGGGCAACAAAAAGAATTGAATTGAAATGTCTCTCAAAGGATTGAAATGACTTTCAATCGCTTTCAATAGTTTAATTAAGCATTGAGGGGCTTTAAATAGCAAACATAAAAAACATAATCTGCATAATGTGAAATTTCAAACAACCTAAAATATCTCAACAATTCAAACAACCTAACTAAAATTCAAAATTCAAATTCATCTTAAACTAAACAACTTATTTTACTAAAAGTTACTACAGTAACAAACTTCAACAGGTTTCTTTTGCTTAGTACAATACCTGTGAGCGTATGGAGTTCAGTAATGATGTTTCCTTTAGCATCAATTCTTTTATCCCCAACAATGTATTGTAAGTAGCATAGTATTTACGGGTTTGACGATCCTTGGCCTGCATGACTCATTTTAGAGGTTAACAAAGTGCACAAGGAAGTGAAAAAAAAATTGTTATAGGAAAACTTATGCTCCTAGGGACAGGTCCCAAGAACCCTCTCTCTCCTACTTCTTAGGAGAAAGAAACCACTTTTTCCGGCGGTAACCTGCCGGAATCCTTCCTATCTTTCGCCTCTCACACAAGCTACCACTTTTTGTGTTAGCTTCATCCTCTCTTCTTTTCTTTCCAGAACTGATCATGAGGGAAAACAGAATATATTTCAATGCAGGGCACACGTCTTTTAACATTACAAGGTGGAAAGCCAACAACTCGGTGTGGTACGATTGGGTGGAAAGAAGTCGCAGGTTGATGGGAAGATCTGAGATGAGCAGTAAGACCATGGAGTGGATCTACGTCACTCAAAAGGAAGCATCTACAGATCAAAATAACAGTCACTTTTATATGAGAGAGAAAAATGAGCACGGAAGATACATGAGCATCCGCTCCTTAAATAAGGAAGGTATTGATCACCCCTGAACTGGCCTTGAATGTGGGTTGGTGTGACGTTGCTTTCAAAATCGAAAAATCCATTAACGTCCTCTGAGACAGTAAGGACAGGTCCCCCAAGAATGACTGAAGCCAACTACCCTTATGCAAAAGCATTACAAGACGGTAAATGGTCATCAAAGAATCTCCAAGAAGCTGAGGTAAGGAGCAAGAAAGGTATCATTGAAGTCTCTGCAAAATCTGGGAAGCAAGAGGATGGGCTTTTGAAAGGGTGCCTAATTGGAGGTCTAGACGAAAACATATAGGAGAACCCAACCCTTTGCTGATATGAGAAGATGGTCATCAAGTTCATGGAAAAGTACCTTCGGGGTAAATATCTATGAAATGAATGAACATAAGTTCCCTTTTTGAGTTCTCTAACAGACTCATGGCAGAACAGATGTTGATATTCATACATATTGTGGATGATATTCAATAGCAAGAAGGTGCCCAGAAGGGGGAGGCCTAGCCAGTGTAGTCAAAGGCGCGCTTTAGTGTGCTCAAGCCCTCAAGCGCTCAAAACGTGTTGAGCGCTTCGCCTCGCTTTATGTGCGTTTCAGTGTCGTCATCAAGGTTCTAAGGCAAGCTTTTCCTTGCCAATGAGCCTTTTATGAAGAAGTGAAACTAAATAATTGATATTTCACTTAACCATAAATTTTTTTCAATTTCTTTGGTCATATATTTGTCATTCATGTTTATAATTATTAGTCTTGGACTAAACATATATATTTGTATTCTTTTCTCCCTTTGCGCCTTTTTTCATTAAAGCCCACGCTTTATTTGTGCTTAAAGCCCCCATGGACCTTAGAGCTTTTTTGCGCTTTCTGCCTTTGATAACACTGAGAACAGGTGGTGAAAAAACAACGGGAATGGCAGAAAAGGAATTTCAATCTTGAATGGTGGAGCCCTACGTCGGGATACATATCAAATTGAAGCTTTGTCAAGGAAACTTGGGTAAGAGCAGTTGGAATCCCTTTACACCTATGGTCACAAAAGGTGTTTCATGAAATTGGCGAGGTATGTAGGGAGTGGTTGGCAATGGAAAAAGACAGCTTTGAAATCATCTAAAAAATGGGCCAGAATTTTAGTCTCAAATGACGGGAGAAGCGTTCCGAGATAGGTAGCACTTTCTCATGACGGGTTCACGTCTGACATTCCGATATGGGTCGAGGGGAAAACGAGAGTGGAAATCTCGCCGGAACTCACCAGAAAATCAGTCGGAGAAGAAGATGATTTGAATTACTCTTTGATGTGGCTAGAGTGGAAGCCTAGAAGTGACTCATCTGCAATATGCAGATGATACACTCATCTTCTGTGGGACTGAAGAAGATCAACTCAAGCATCTGAGGGTGATCCTGGTTTTGTTTGAAGGGATTTCGGGGCTTCGTATCAACTGGAGAAAGAGTTCTCTGTATCCTATAAATGATGTAGCTAACATGGAGGCTCTGAATATAATACTGGGTGGCCAGGTGGGATTCCTTCCTACCACATACTTGGGGATGCCTTTCGGAAATCATTCGAGATTTGGAATACAGTGATTGGAAAATGTGAGAAGAAATTGGCCGGATGGAAGGGACAATACTTGTCTCTTGGAGGCAGAGTCACACTAATCAACTCTGTTATAGTTTCCATTCCAACCTACATGATGTCACTATTTCCAACCCTAGCAAGGATTATCAACAGATTGGACAGAATCAGAAGGAAGTTCCTATGGCAGGGAAATAAAGAAAGAAAAATGATATAATCTAGGAAGGAAGTTCCTATGGCAGGAAAATAAAAGAAAGAAAATGATATAATCTAGGAAGGAAGTTCCTATGGCAGGAAAATAAAGAAAGAAAATGATATAATCTAGGAAGGAAGTTCCTATGGCAGCAAAATTAAGAAAGAAAATGGTATAATCTAGTTAAACGGAAGGAGGTGATTGTATAAAAGAGATAAGGGGAAATGGGAATAAAGAACTTGAAAAACTATAAAAGCACCTTAGAACGAAGTGGCTCTGAAGGTATGCAAAGGACAAGTAGCACTTGTAGGGAAAGACTAAGAAGCAAAATATGAGGAGGATAGGTGGATGACAAAGGAAATTACTGGACCATATGGAATGAACCTATGAAGGTCTATCAGAACTCTATGGAATGAACTTGAGAGAAACACCAAGATCAAAGTGAACAACGGGGGAAAGACGAGGTTTTGGAAATAGGAATGGCATGAGGCAGGCATCCTAGAAAACCTCTTTCTAGACTTGCACAACATAGCAATACAACAACACAGTACCATAGCAGAAATTTGGACACAGAGGATGGGACATCACCTTCAGGAGACAGAGTAATGATTGGGAAATTGTAAGAGTGGCAGAGTTTCTCAACATAATTGGTCAGCTCAGTGGGACACAAGAGGGGGAAGATGAGCTATGGTCGCAGGGCTGTGGGAAAGGCACATTCAAGGTTAGCAAAGCATAAAAGAAATTTCCCCAACCAACAGCGTATCAACTGGCCATGGAAGAATATCTGGAGGGTCAAATTCCTTATAAGGTTGTCTGTTTCGTCTGGCTCTTATCCAAAGAGGCAGTGGTTTCACAGGATAACTTAATGAAGAGGGGATAACGTTATGCCCTAGATATTTATTTTATCCAGAGAAGGCGGAAACCGTAAACCAACTCTTTTTGCACTGAGTTTACAGAACAATTATGGAGGTTGTTTCTAAACTTGAGAGGTATATCTTGGTCCATGCCAGGAAAGATCAAACAGACACTTCAAAGCTGGGAAGAGATAGGGGTACTGGCCAAAAGCAGAAGCAGATGAAGAATCATACTAGCCAATAGATGGTAGACTATATGGAGGAAAGAAATTCTAGGTGTTTTGAGAACATAGAAAATAGCATATATCAGATCAAGTTGAATTATATCTTGACTCCGTGTTTTTTGGTGTAATCAGATTTGGTCTATTATCATATATCTATTATTGACGTTCTAACTTCATTATAGACATAGGATTTTGTAAATATGGTTGTAGTTCAATCCATGTACTACTCTTTACTTATATATAAATATAAATTTGCCAGTTTCAAAAGAATAAGAAGTGATTGACAAGGACCTGAAATGTGAGTCATGGTCAAACAAAGGTTCATGTCACTGACTATGGTTGTACCTGAATATGAGTATAAAGTTCTGACAATCGGAGTTCATACCTGCAGAAGAAAAGCTCCGTCATAAGTATGAGTACAAGGCATTAATAAATCCAACCACATTCATGGCTAATAACAACCATACCAACACAGAAATAAATACCTAGTGATCCGAATATAAAATTCAGAAACAAGGGAAATTCAGTTGACCAAAGTCAATATCAAAGGCTAGTGGGGAAGTTGATCTACTTATCACACACTCGACCTAATATGGCTTTTGTTGTAAGCTTAGTGAGTCAATTTATGCACTCTCTGAAGAAGGAGCACCAAGAAGCGGTCAACAGGATTCCAAGATATTTGAAAAGCTCACCAGGGAAAGGATTGTTTTGCAAAAAAGGTCAAGATAGGGGCATTGAAAGCTTTACAGATGCAGATTAGGCAGATTCTACTATTGATAGGAGGTCTACATGAGGATATTGTACTTTAATATGGGGAAATCTCGTGACTTGGAGGAGTAAAAGCAGAATGTTGTAGCCTGTAGCAGTGTTGAAGTTGAATATCGATCTATGGCCCATGGGATCTGTGAAATGATTTGGCTCAAGAAGATGATGGAAGAACTAAAATAGTGTTTGTGTTATCAATGAAGTTGTACTGTGACAACAAAGCCGCCATAAGTATTGCTCGCAATTCAGTTCAACATGACAGAACAAAGCATGATGAAGTGGATAGACACTTCATAAAAGAGAAAATTTTAGAAGAAAATGTGTGCATGCCTTTCATCCCAAATCAGCAAATTGTGGATATTTTCACAAAAGACTTGTTTAAACCAAAGTAGGAAATTCTTGTAAGCAAGTTAGGCATGACAAATATTTACATGCCAACTTGAGGGGGAGTGTTGATTTAAAAATCTAAGTGTGATCAGATATGATTTTGTAGGATTTAAATTGATCTAATAAAATCATATCTGATATGCTATTGAATAGGTTAGGATATTAGATCAAACAAAATCATCCCTTGAATCTCAAATCCCCTTGAATCAAGGAATTTGATTGCTAGTTAGTTTATTTTTCTATGCTATAAATTTGTATGTTTATGGATGAATTATATTGTAAAATTTTGGTACCAAAACATACAAAAAGCTCAAGTAGTGAGAATTTCACAACAACTTATAAGGAGGCAACAACACATACACTTACAGATTTCAGATTTCCTCATGGCCTTGACTAATCATTTGAAGCTTGTAGTAATATAACAAAGTGGCCCAATGTTGGGTAACCCAACATCAGAGAGGGGTCTAACTTTAATATCACGTTAGGAAAATGCACATTGGGCATGTTACGACCCCAAAAGTTAGCTCAAGTGATGAGGATTGACCCAAAGCAAAATACAACTAATTTAACCGGTGTGGAACTCTAACAATAACAAATAAAGGTTCAACAACTCACTTTTTGACAGAGAGAGAATGTGTGTATTAATGAATGTTAGAATCCTAGGAATATTGTATAGCATATGTGTAAATATAGTAGGTAGCTTATTTACTCCTAGATCTACTCCTATTTTAATTAGGTATTGATTTGTATTGATTTCCTTTCCTTTTTAGGACATGTAAACTTAGCTATTTAAACCCCAATAGTTTGTGGGAATAATCAGGTTGAGTTCTCTCTCAAACTCTTGTCTTCTCACAACGAGCATGTTTCAATCACCTAAGAGAAGGATAGTAAGTTAATGGTGTTTCACCACCACTTTAATTGTTATGCTTAGTGAATGAAAGCATGAGCACAATTTGCTATCTGTTGTGCTCAATGGGCTAATGGATGAACTTCTACGGGAATTATGATATTAGAACATGCCAACCCCAAATTAGATTATTTTTTCTCTTAAACTAGTATGACTGGGAACCTTAGTTGTGGTTCAAGAAAATTAATATAGATCAGAAGACATCGAAATTGAGGAACTAAACTTCTTATACCTGGATAAACTCATTAAAAAGAAAAAAACAATTTGATGGGTTCTATAAGGGCTAATTGGTACGTGATGCCATCTAATTTTCTATTCTTTGTTCTGCCATCTTTCTAGAGTAATTTCAATACTACCCAAACTGTTGATTTTGTTTTTACTGCAGTAATATTTTAGCATAGTAAGTTACCTAGCTTTAGGATGAATTTGAATTTTAAATATTTCTTAGGTTATTCTAATTGTTGAGATTATTTAGCCTTTTTTGAATTATTTTTTTTGCAAATTTTCTGCAAATTATGTTATCAAGTTGGCTATTTAAAGCCCTATTATGCTTAATAAAAATATTGAGAGATATTTCAATCAATACATTTTGCTAGCCCGCTATTAAAAACACCAACAGTGGTATCAAGAGCTTTAATGATCTTACGAGATCTGTAAGTTCTTCCAAAGAACTATCATATCATTTTTAACCCGTAAGAGGTATTTTTAACTCATGGTTTTTTCAATGCACAAGTTTTTCTCAACCAATTTTTAACCTAAAAAATGGCAAGCAACAGTCTCTCTTTGAATGCCCAAAAATTTCAACTAGTGAAAACTATCAGATTTGGTCAATGAAAATGAAATCATATCTTGAAGGCTATGATCTGTGGCAGTTGTAACGAAAGATATACCCTTACAATCTCTCCCTACAAATCCTATCCTTTTCCAAATTAAATCTCATTCGGATGAAAAAACCAAATAATTCAAAGTCAAAACTGTAATTCAAAATTCAGTTGCGGATTCAATTTTTCTAAAATCATTGGTTGTGAGACAGCAAAAGAAGCTTGGGAGAAATTTTAAAGAAAAAATATAAAGGAAGTGACCAAGTCGGACAAATGCAAATTTTGAATTTGGAAAGGGATTTTGAATCTCTTAGGATGCAAGAGGATAAAAAAATTGTTAAAGTATTCTGACAAGATTTCTTTGATTGTTAATAAAATCTGGTTGCTTGACGAGAATTTCAAAGATGACAGAGTAGTAGAAAAAATTCTTGTGACAATTTCAGAGATATTCGAGTCTAAAATTTCATCTCTGGAAGAATCTAAAGATCTCTCTACTATCTCTGTTGAAGAACTAATAAATTCTCTTCAAGCACAAGAGCAAAGAAGAGCCTTTAGACAAGATAATGTTACTGAGGGTGTTTTTTATGTATAAAACAGAAAAGAAAAAGGTAATTATCCTCTTTGCAATTACTGTAAAAGAAAAACACACTTGAAATTTTTTTGTTAGTGGAGACGTGATGCAATATGTGGAAATTGCAACCAAGCCGGCCATGTTTCAAAAGTGTGCAAGCTTAAAAACAATCCTCAAGCACAAGCAACAAAAGCAGAAAAAGAGGAGAAGCAACTTTTTAAAATTGTAGTATCTAAAGGAAAGGAGGAGTGTTGAATTTGCTTTTAGTTATTGCAGTAATTTTTAGCATTATAGGTTACCTAACTTTAGGATGAATTTGAATTTTAAATATTTGTTAGGTTGTTTTAGTCGTTGAGATTATTTAGCCTTTTTTTATTTTTGTAATGCATATTTTCTGCAAATTATGTTATCAAGTTGGGTATTTAAAGCCCTATTATGCTTGATAAAAATATTGAGAAAATATTTCAATCAATACTTTTTGTTGCTCCATTTTTAAAAAAACCAACACAAACAACCAAGAAACTATGGAGGCCATCAAACCTATAATCTATTAAAATATATCTAAAGCCTACAAGCTAATATGCTCTTATGCAGTTTTTTATCTCCAAATCATCATGGTGGGATGCTGGAGAATCAAATCCCACCTCCTACTAAGATATTCACAATAGTAAGACTCTGAAACTTGGAGTCTTGGACAAAAGTCAAACATAAAATCCTCTAATTTTGTATACTGGTACTCTTTCACTAAATAAACTTGAAGCATCTATAAAGTAGTTAGACAGCTTGTGTAGATTGTTTCATTAACAAACTAAAAGCAGATAATCAACAGCTGAAAGCCAATTCCAGGGTTTTCTAAATCAATATCATAACTAATTGCTTTCATTCATCTCAGCTAAATGCTACCCTATTAATTCTAGAAGCAAACACTTCTTCACAAATGTAAGGGCTTACAAGATTTAGGCTAGGATGAAATGAGGTTTCATTGATAAATAATGAAAGCTTAAAGAGTTCAAGTACCTTTAGATAAGGATAGACTCTCACATAACCTTGCACCCAAGGAGAGTGGCCTAATAGTCTACGTAGTGGGTCAACAACCATTAGGTATCAGGTTCAAATCTCAGTCGAGGCAAAAACATAGTGATTTCTTTCCATCTATCAAAACCTTGGTGGAAAGAGTTACCCAGTACCTATGATGGTGGGAAAGTTGACCAAGACATCACAGTTATCAAAACAGAACGAAACAAAAAAGACCCCCCCCCCCCAGCGGACTC